GTCTTGACTACTCCCGGCGACTGCAGTTTTCTCCGCAAGATTTCGGAAGGGTTTTGCCCTTGCCTGCTTTCCAGGGCTGAGAGAGAGTGACTGGCCCAAGGTCTCCCAGCTGGCTTCGTGCTTAGGTGGGACTAGAACTCATGGTCTCCCAGTTTCTAACCTGGTGCCTTTAACCACTATACCAAAGAGTCCCTCCTTGGGGGGGAGTTGGGTGGTGATATAAATTTGATATATAAATAAATAAAATTAACTGGCTCACCTGGGTAGCTGACCAAAGAAAAACAACAATCAGCAGTAAATAATAATAATCAATAATAGGTGACCTGACTCACATTCATACTCTTGCCTAATGGGAACTTATTCATCCTTGAAGGAATAGCCAGGTTTTTAAGGCCAGCAGGGTTGGGGCCAACTGAATATAGTGGGGAGGGGATGATTGTTCCAAGGGTAGGCATCACTACAGAAAAGGAATGCCTTCTGGATCCCACCTCCTGGCACTATTTCAAGGAAGGAACCCAGAATGTACCCACCCTATTACAGCAAGTAGCACAGGCAGATGTTCTTGGGGAGAGGCAGTCCCAGAGGTGTTTGGGTAAATTAAGGGCAAACCAGGATAGTATACAGACTGTTCACTCTTGGGCTATCTGGAAGATTCATTGCATCGTTGTCCATTGAAACTCAATTTAAAATTGTACTAACAAACAGACCAGATGCAGTGCCAAACTTAAGCAAATGTACTTTCTTTTGCAGCTGCTTGTTGGTGCCAAGCCAAATCACACAGATAGTCCTATGAAGATTTCAGTACGAAGCCCTGACAGTTAACGCGCCCCACGCACACACACTCCTCTAACACCAACCAGGAAGCACTTTTGCTTGGACGGGTGGGAGGTGATTTCTGAATAAACACAATTATCACCCCATGATTTGAACAGACCCATATGTACCAAGGCAGAAGCAGATAAATCTGGCCCTCTATTTGCTAAGCAAAAGAAGTTCAAGTCAGCTGGACGACCCGAGGAACAAAGCTTCCCCAAACCCCACCACATAAAATTATAAAGCTGTCTAAAACTGCCAGGGAAGCGTGATCTCCCTTCCGCTCCATACAGAAAACAAAACAGCTCCACGCCATTGAACTGGGTTGATTCAGGAGCCCAAAAGGGCCCTTGGAGGAAGGCAATCAAAAACTCCTAAAGCATCTGGTGGACCACTGATAAAATAATTGGCAAACAAAAATGGAAAACACAAATATTGCAAGGTACATTTCATTAACTGCTTTTGTCTCATGCCTACAAAATCCTCTGCTTTTTTTTTTTTTTTAAATGAGACGCAGAGAACAGGTCCTGGGACCTCCAAAATCCACCAACTTGGCCTAAACATGATGTAATTAACAACAATCATAACACTAACAATAACATTGTTACAACAATAATTGTATTATTGTTTATTATTGTTTAATTGTATTATTGTGATTATTGTAATAACAATAACCATAACACTGATGATCAAGATGCTGTTTTAGACTTCATTATATTCATTGACTTGTCCCCAATCTGGAGTTCTTTAGAGGTGTTAGAGGGAGAAGTTGCAATTCCCCACCCACTTTTCCTCCCAACCAGCAAAATTCTCACTGGCATTCCCATTTTAAGAAACCTGGGGTATCTGAGTTTGGATTCATTCCAACATGAGATGAAGAAATTTGACTGAGGAAGTGCTAGGTGACAAGGCTTCTTTAATGAGCTTTTGTACACACACATAGACAACATCAATAATCCCCCCATTTGGTTTAATATCAGCCTCATCTTCAAAGTTAAAAAGTTTTGAATCCCGCAGAAAACCCATATAGCCATTGCTAGGAAACAGCGAATGGCTCCAGAACAGTGTTATGTTTAGAAGGTTGCCCTCTTGCTGGAGATGGGAGAAAAGTTCAGCTTGGGAGGTAGAGATCTCCTGGGGAAGCTAGAAGGAACAGAAAGAAATAACTGTTCCAGCTTTTCTAAACAGTTGCATCCACCATGACAACCACGTTTTGATGGGCCACCTACCTCTATGGCAGCTATTTTGAGAGAAGACCCACAGCATGCTCTCAAAATACCAAAAAACAAGAATTGGAAAGCCTTGGCAACATATTTAT